GTAACATTATTTGCTATTATTTTGCTAAGTGTAAAATACTGCAGGTCTATGATAAAGCCCATTCATGGAAAATGACAGAACCTAAATATGACATAGCCTGTGGCTGTTATTTGAGCTGACACGAAGGCGGTAAAATTCTTCGACTTATCCTACTGGGTCTGCAACAAACAAAATAAAGTGTAAAGATGAAAGGAAACAATTTAATCCATAAATAAAGGATTATTAAAAAGTCATTGGTATTCCGTTCTAAGTTTATTTAAAGTGAGCAGTGAAATTTATTCCTCATCTGAAGTTGGAACTAATCTGTGAACCCCTAATTAGGAATAAAAGCAGTCAATTATAGACACGTTGTACACGAATGAGGATACCCTTGTCTGAAAATAAAGATAATTTGATTCGACTCTCAAAGTCATGATTAGCCAATACTTCAAAAAGGAGGAAACAACAGTTAGCAACAGCAAAGATAAATAGGGCTGGGTAGTTGGATCGGGATGCATATATAAGTGGGTCGACCTCGTCGCCGCAACTTAGTCTTGTTATCAGGATAAGTTAGTAGAACTTACCTAGTCCGAAGCCGTCTGCCATAGTCGTCATAATTCCTAGAATCAGACAGAGTACTTGGTACATCATCAGACGTTTCGCCGGCATTATCAGTGAGTTCTGCCATTCTCCACACCAAGCTACGAACGCATCAGAGACAAGTGAAGTCAATCGTTCCACCAATGTTCTGCCGAAAACGGTTACACTATCACTCCTCTTTCTGTCCTGGCCTACCTATTTACTCTCTGCTCTTTTATCCAACTCCCGCCCCATCACAACTTCTCGCTTGTTTACATTCCACTCGTCAAAATGTGTGCCCTTTTGTAACAAATGTAGACTGGCCTCATCAAACTTGCTATTCACCCCGACCACCTTTCTTTCGATCGGCTAATCCAACTCGGGCTTCCAATCCGGATCCCCCTCATGGTCCCGTAGATCCGTTCTTTATCTTTCTGGTTGACTGATTTCACTCGGTTCTAGTCCCAGTGATCGTTTCACTCCAGGTGCTATTTCTCAAGGTCCTAGAAGCACGTATACAGTTTTGTTATTAAGTCAGAAATCCTATGTGATTTCCTGTCGGTCATACTCTGGAGTTTTTGAAAGTCTTCCGGAGACAGGATCGTGGCCAGATGATGCCAGAGCTTTGACTTAATATCTATAAACTTAAAAAGTTTAACAAAATGACATGACGACAAATTACGTAAGTTTGGGAATATAATACAGTCTAAGTTAAAGCTATTACATCCAGTTGAAGTGGCTTTCGAGGTGATACCACCTACTTATCAGCACGGTAATCAGAAGAAAGTATTAAACTTATCAATTCATCACAATCCCAGAACAACCGCGTTCATAGAAAAAGAACTCCATTGCTCAATTCAACATGAAAAAAGCCTT